TACATCGATGTTTTCTGAAACTCGGGAAATATCGAAGTTTTCAAACATCGATGTTCGATGTTTCCTCTTTAATTATCACTTTTTGGCTGGTATTTGGTAAGTGCATCAAAAATTATTATCAATTAAATGAAATAAACTTAACAATAAAATTATTATAGATTTTTGTGTGATTTAATTCTTATTGGTGTTGGCGGCGTTCACAAATGGAAAAGGCTTTGAAAAAGCAGAACAGGAATGGTAATTAGAGTAATTAGGTACAATCATATGATTTTTAATGACATTTTTGTCCAATATAGTTGCGTGTCAGGAGGAAAAAACGATGTCGGCAGCACGATCCCAAATAAGCAAATGAATCTTCCGTATGGAACTTTTTTGATAAGTCGACTTAAGGCAGGACAGCCAAATGTATTAAATGTGGCAGAACCTACCAAACAATTGGCAATACGAGCAACTTGTCTTGCCACTTGAAGAGGATACATCCTAACTTGACAGTTAGTGAATTGCCTCAAAGACAACAGCAATCCGTTTTGTCGAATAGAAAACAAAAATTGAACAGTGCCTTATCCGATTACAATTTCTCTGACTTGCGCCCTCTATCAGTGGTAGAAAATAAAGGATTCCGCAATATTATAAGCCAGCTCGATCCAAGGTACGAATTGCCTTCACGAGCCACCTTAAAGAACTATCATTTGGCAAATGCATTCGAAGAAAAGAAGGCAAAGTTGTCTGCCTTTTAAGAAAAAGTAAAGCACTGTGCATTAACTTCGGATTGTTGGACGTCAAGGGCCAACGAGTGCTACATCACTGTGACATTTCATTCTATTACAGCAGATTTTGAATTACGCAATGCTGTTTTGTCCACTGAAAAGCTACTCGACGAAGCGAATCACTCTTCGGAAAACATATGAAAAAGTATACGCAAAGTTATCGAGGAATGGAAAATTGTTGGAAAGGTTACAGCTATGGTCACAGATAACGCCAAAAATATGATAAAAGCAAGTGAGATACTGCAAATTATACATATTCCATGCTTTGCCCATTCGATTAATTTGACCGTCCAGGAAAATCAAATAGGAAAAATGTAATCGAATTGTATTTTTTTTAAAAGTAATAAAATCGCGTATGCCAAGTTGAAGGAGGCCCAGGAGTCCGAACGTCCATACAGTCTAAAACAAGAATGTCCCATAAGGTGGAACCGCGCTTTCTATATGGTATACTGTTAACAAAGGTTGCCATCACAAGTGTGCTTCTCAATACGCCCAAAGGGTTAATAGAAGATTGGTCCTCTTGAAAGTCGAACAGTAACAAGAATGGCCACAATTCTTGACCCTCGTTATAAGAAGGAAGGATTTTGGAATCCGTTCAACTCCTCCCAAGCGGTGAAATCTTTAGAGGAGGAACTGACCCACATCAACGTTCTAACAAAGTCTCCAACATGTTCTAGCCCGCCAACACCAGAACCAGCAGCAGCTTTTTAGCTTTTTACAATCAAACAAATCCCACAAAGTCCACAGCCCTCGCGTGGATTCAATATTAGCATTGCGGCAATACTTAAATGCTAGTAATTTGGAGCCTGCTCAAAATCCATTGGATTGCTGGAAAGTACAAAAAATTAACAATTTAGTTTGTAATCAACTTAAAAATCCAATTTCTTCTTTCTACAAATCTTCTTTCTTCTCAACTGACAATGCATTTAAAAAGTGAATTTTTAAATACTTTTGTGTACCGGCCACTTCCACAGAAAGTGAAAGAATGTTTAGCAAAGCGGGACTTCTCGTAAGCGAGAAGCGAGGCCCGCTAAAACAAACGAATGTAAACATGATTTTGTTTCTAAACAAAAATGATTGGACTTAATTTAATTTTAATTTTCTTTTTTCGTTTTTTTTTTGTTGAGTAGGACTCGTTTTTCTGTTTTTAGCTGTTTTTCATTTTCGTTTCAATTGTTTTTCCATTTTAAGTTTTGCGTTCTATGAAAGATAGGGTTGTTGGATTTTGAAAAAATATCGTATTGATGATATTTGCTGTGAAAAAAAATCAATCGATAATATTAAGAAATATCACCAAAAATTTCGAGTATTTTTGATATTTTTTATGGTCAGCTGAAATTGAAAAAGGTTGTTTGTAAATTTAAAAAAAGGTTTTAATATGTGTTTTCATCCGCCATGAACTGCAAATAAGAGCTATTTTATATTTAAAAAGTGAATTGGAAAACAACAAATATTTATACCTACTCTCAAGCAACTTTTATTTACGTTCTTTGAAATAAAAAATAACAAAATTATTAAGGACATTGTATTAAAATTTATTTATAAAAAAAAATAATATAAAAAAAAGTTTTTTAAAACTTAATTAATTCATGAAATATGTACTAAATAATGCTAATTACTTAATTCTCTTATTTAATGTTCCTAATTACTCTAAATTACAAAACAAATCTTTCTTCAATGATTTAAAAAAAAACTCTTTCGGTTATATGCTGGTCTGTCATTCGACTACGGGAGTCACAGAAAACACATTTAATGGCAGAAGCCAACCGTTCAGATGGAACCGAACTTCCAGGCGTGATAAGATAACTTAATGCCAATTTCTGGCTTAAGAGTGACCAAACATAAGATATCGGAAATACCAACTCAAAAATATTATTATCGACTATTTTTGCCCAAAAAATATTTCGATAATAATATTTTTTTAAGAGAAAATATATCGATATATTGATATTTTGATATATTTCCGACATCCCTACTATTTTTGTAAAAATATACTAAAATATATTTTTTTGTATATAAAAAAAAAACTAAACGATATTCACTAAATACCATAATAATTTTCTGTTAAAACGCCAAGAAATTTGAATATAATTTCATATTTTAATATTACAAAAGTATAAAAGATATTAATAAATCAATAATAAAGGACTTTTTTTTTTTTAAAATACGAGTGTTTATTTATTTCATTGTATTTTTTTGTATCTAAATTCTTGCTTCTGGGATGCCGCATGCTGCTTAATAGATGCCAACTATTCGCTCCCCCTCGGTCTCCCACTCGTTGCGATATTTTTATACCCTTGCAGAGGGTATTATAATTTTGGTCAAAACTGTGCAACGCAGTGAAGGAGACATCTCCGATCCTATAAAGTATAATAGGGTCGGCATAGGATCACCTCCTGAGTTGATATGAGCATGTCCGTCTGTCTGTCTGTTTCTACGCGAACTGGTCTCTCAGATTTAAAGCTATCGACTTGAAACTTTGCACACACCCACCCTTCTTTCCTTTGCACGCAGTATATAAGTCGGAACGTCCGGGATCGGCCGACTATATCCTATAGCTGCCATATAACTGAACGATCGGAAATGGTATTTGGTATAAATACATACTTTGCTATTTTTGAAGATAGAAGCTTGGGATTTTTTTTTTAAATATTTTATTGTAATTAATTGGGTTATATTATCATATATCCTATAAACAACTTTATCCGATGTTTGCGATATAAATCCGGTTTTAACGGCAACTTTCATCAACTTTCCTTTTTTGTTATTTTGAAAATTTTATTTTATTCGTTTTTATTTCCGAAACATGCCTAGCGTCGCTAGAGATCAAATCGTTTTGAGGGAAAGGAAAGAAATGATTAGGGAAAAATAAGTAGGACGGCAACAAGAGGAGGCAATTCTACGGAGCGTAAGCAGATGATATTGATTCATTAATTTTCAGTACCGTTCAAAGAAATTTAAGACTTGGAGCTCATCTCATCAAACTGGAGCCACCCGAAGCCAGAAATTTCTTCAGACACGGAATTATTTTATTTATTGGCAAGACTGCCTTTGCGATTTTTCTGAATGTTCCCATCCCTGAAGAAAGGCGAATAACGTAGGCTAGCCGGCATAATCCGGATAGGAAGATAGGCAGACCCTTACAAAAAATATATAAAAATATGTACATATCTGGTATAAGAAGATCTATTTAAATCAGCTGTTTTTAATATTGGAATTTTTCAAATACAAATTTGAATGAATATGTATGTATGACCTCAGTATTAAAAATATTTCATCACATTGGAAAGTATTTACGTTTTTGTTCGTTTAACATGTTTTTCGACAAGGAAAGTTATAGCTAGCTAGTTTTGTACTAGGACAAAAGTTTTGGCCTTAAAACCTTAAGCCTAGTACTGAGTTGACGAAAATTCGCTCTTGAAAATCTGACAGCTGTCAAACTCCATATAAAAAAAACGGTATAAAAAAAAAAGAAGAATTTTTCGTGTCCTAAATTTTTTGGGTACTGTGTTGAGAAAAATTTTAGCTATCGAATTGAATGGCGTTGCCGGATTAAAAAAAATAAACAGCTGATTTTGGGGTCTTGAAATAAATTATTTATTTCGATAGCTAAAACATGGAGGGAAAATTTGAAAGAAAAAAATGGTCGGACCGAAAAATTTTCGGCGCGCGAGGATAAATTGAAATTAATTTTTGCGGTCAAGGCGAAGCCCATAATATGGGATTTGACCCACAAGGGGCATTTTAATGCCATAAAATGTCATTGAAATGATTTGTGATTGATTTTGATTTTGACCCAGTTTTCTATTTCTTAATCAGCTCCTTAGCGGCGAAATACATAAACAAAACACCAACATCCAATTGATTTGAATTCATATTTGCTTATTGTTTTTTTGTTTACAAACAACAGCTGTTCAGTATTACCCTTTTTCTTAATTTTTTTGGTCACACTAGCTCGGTAGCTGAATAAAGTGCAATTTCGCAAGCGGAATTTCAAGAGCGGAATTTCGTCAACTCAGTACTAGGCTTAAATAAAATAGTTTCCGCTAAAAAAAAAAAGTAACCAATTTTTTCAGGCTTTTACGTATAAGTATAAGTATAATTAGTTTTACTTATAAAATAAGGTATAAATAAATATAAGTATAGATATAGTACAAAAAGGTTGTTCTGAAAAAATATACCAAAAATATACGTGTGATTAAAGTGTAGTAGATGTAGTCACATTTTTTTGTGGTTTTATTTAGTACATTTTAAAAGTGTTTAAAGCTGGTCCAAAAAAAACATTACTTTTTTGAAATTATAAGCAATTGATTTAAAATGAATATTGCTCGAAATTTGTTATCTTTAAGAACGGCTGTTGCCCGTTCAAATCAAAGTTTATTAACATCTAAATTGTTACGAAGGGAAAGCCATGTGTATGTTAGACATGATTTTTTGCCAGGCATTGCATTGATTCTTACATAATTTTAAAAGGGTTTCATATCGAAAGGGTCCACCGGCTCATTCGAATGCCACTAAGATTGGTGCCGTTGCTGTTGGAGGAGCCATGTGGTGGTGGGTAATTTGGCATTTGTGGCACGAACCTGATCATATAACGGTAAGTAATATAATTTTCTACTGACAAATACATTGTACATGTGTTTAATGTTTTTCAGGGTGAATTTGAATATCCAAACCCGTCCAAATGGAGCAACACAGAATTGGGAATACCCAAAGATGATTAATAAATAATAAGGGCTGTCTGTTTTTTGCTTCAAACGAAAAACTAAAATAAATAATAATTAACTTAGCGACTTCTGTTAGTAAAAAGACTTTTCTTTTGCCTTCTAAAGGCAGTAGTTTTAAAGCAGTAGTTTTAAAGCGAGTCCTCGGGGCTGAAAACCAAAATTTAAACTGTACCAATTTTTTTAATCACTATTCATTTCATTAGTCTGTTACTATTATTGGATATATTTGATTTCAGCGGCAGCGGTTTCGGCCGGCTTGCTCATATCGCTACAGTTTTATCTCAGCCAGCATGTGGAAGGAAGATCGTTTTAAAAACAATCACCCTGACCAGAACTTTTCTAGTTTTGTGGAGATGATTAAAACTAGGATCCATATTATAGGAGACTCGAAAATGTTCGAAGAAGCCATTTAGGCCATAAAAAATTGGCCTTTTTAGCCATAGAAAATGTATCATTTTGGGAATTAAAATGTAATGATTTTCTAGGTATTGCTTAAGGGGGGAAATACAATTAAAAATTTATTTTTTTCAAAAATTTTTTTTTGTTCTTAATGTACTCTAAATATGTCTAGGAATAAGCCTTTAAAAGCATAAAGTAATACGCAATTTAGTGAGTGCGTGTCAGTGGTAAACTTTAGTGAGTGGTAAACTTTAAACGCTTCTACTGAAAAGTCGTGTTTTCAAAGTCGCCGTGCAATGTACAGGTCAGAGATTTCATTTTAATCGAATGCGGTTTTTTGCTTTATATTTGAAATTAAATTCTCCACAACATGAATGAAAGGATTTTTCATATTTATTTGTTATAACATGTTTTTTTGACGAACAAAGTCAAAAAAAAGTGTGTTTTTTTAAAAACATTTATTTCAGTTTCAAATTTTTTCATGGAAAAACCCTTTTTTTTACATATGAAATAATTCATGTTGTGCGCTGTACCTCTAAGTTTAATGCCCAGTTGTTGTTTTTTGTTTTAGACGTGATCCTGGGCCTGGAGACTGCACGGCGCAAAGTTTATCCCCCAAAACACGACTCTACATTATTGATCATAAATGGGCTTAATTACAATATTTTTCGAAAAACTTGACTGATTTTCATTGCCCAATAATTTCCTAATAACATGCAAAAAGAATCGCTAAGATTCATTCAATTCCCTACTTGCAATCCACTCCCAAAGATAGGCCTCATTTTAGGCCTTTTAATTGTATTTCCCCCCTTAACTTCTCTAAATTGATCAGCGCTTTGCGGGTGAAAAATTCCTAAAAAGTTTTTTTTTCTTTACCAATTTTATTCTTTCTTTACCAAATTTATAAAAATGTTGACCGATTTGGTTTCTTACTGACCGGATTTATTCTTTCTTTATTATTTATTAAACTCAGAGGAATAAGTAAGAAAATTAAAATGCTCGTTTTAAAATTTGATGGACAGGAAAGAGATGATGGGGTAGCGGCCTATGCAGTTCGAACATAAGACCTCAAGAGTGTCGTGTTGTTCATATGTCGGGATGGATCTTAAAATAGGCTAGTCTCGGAGAATTACGCACAAAAAATAAGATTTGAAAGAAATAAGAAATAAGATTTTGAATGTTGAATGCGTAAGGCTGATGTCATTTTAGGCGGAGAGTAAGTTATATATGAAAATGTAATGTACAAAGATTTAATGGGCAGAATAGAAGTCCCCAAACTCTTGTGATTTTACTCTTCAGAAGGAAGTTGGATTTATATTTAAATAAATAAGTAACAGGGTAAGTATCAGGGCCAAGTCAAGAAAAAATATAAGTTTCGATGGAGGAATCACCTGTAAGGGTTTTGGTGTTGCAGGTACGAAAGCTGAAGCATCAGTCAGTACCGGTGGTCCGGACTGTGGAATATCCAGTTGGATGACTCTAACGGGGGGTTTATTCACTAGGACCCGAGGACATATCGGACAATTGATCATTTGCACTGAGAAATTGGGACGGCGAATCGTTCTCAGTTCTAGCCCTTGGGGTGGCCAGCGATATGAGTGGTAGAGTTTTAGTTCGAGTCGAGCTTTTTTAAGAGTAAGACGTGTTACTGGTGATTCAAGTGTATTTAAATAAAACCCCCAAGGCTTTTGGAAAGTTCCTTCACTGTAGGACTGCAATTGCCCAACCTATCTGCACGTCAGCAATCCCCAAGTGCATCAGCTATAGGGGATTCCACAGTTTTTTTCTTTTTTCACAAGCACTGGGCCCCGGAAATTGCTGATGCTCCACTGATCTCCACGAGGCGATCTACTGTTGAAGCTTCAAGCTTTCAACCGGTTTGTGTTTGAGCTAAGCATCATCGACACACTAGTGGAAATTTATCTTGCATAAATCTAGGCGGTCATAAGACCGGCTTAGCATTTGTCTCCCATTTTAGTCAATTACTCAACTTTATTTGGTAAAGTTTTTGCTAATTGCTTAAAACGGACAAATCTCTCCAAAAACAATTCATCGATTTTAAATCAATGAGGAATACTGCTGGAGCAACTCCCGCCGAACTATGAGCTAGTTTGCGAGACAGTTTAACGGACAGCTGCTCAAAAGCTGGCACTACAACTAGATGGGCTCCCACAAGCTGCATAACAAGTTGTACTGTAACGTCCTTGATCTAATCTCAAATGACTTTCCCAACAAGCTCGAATGACAGTTTGTGTTCGCTATATCCAGTACGAGGCATGATTCTGCTTCTACTAGCACACCATCATGCAACCCTTCCCAGTCTGGCAGCAAGTCACCGCATAGCCATTAAAAGGACGAGGAAGAAATGGACGCCTTCCACTTTGCAAAAAAGAAAGCCGCGACAAACCCCGCCTTGCTGCCGGCAAAATCCAACAGCTCAGGAAAAGCACAAACAGCCGCACCGCAAGTCACTCGATCTCCCAAGGTCCCAAGAATTATGGTTCCTAGTGTGGTCAGCTACTCTGCTTTCTGCAGTGACCTGGATGCTTTTATTGGAGACTCTTACTCCATCAATGCGCTGAACTCAGGTGACTGTGCTGTTCAGTACAACTCCTCCGACGCCTACAGGCTTGTTGCCAGACACTTCTGCGAAAAAGGAACTGTTTTCCACCACAACCAGCTGCCAGAAGACCAACCCTTTCGCATGGTAATGAGGAACCATGACGTCCCATCGGAGGACATTATTGAGTGCCTGCAGGAGTGCCCCCACCGACTATATTATACCCGTTTATCTTTTTCTATCTAATCCGCATTAACTAACCTTTTATTTTTAAAGTTCGAAAGTATAGACTTACAACAAATCAACAAAACAAAATTTTGCTTTAAAAACAACAGCTAATGTAATCCAGTTGATCCTAAATGCGTAGAGCCTTTTTTTGTAGTGGACTGTATGTTTTATTGTTCTTGCTTGTTTCGCTGTCTTATTGGTACTGAAGAAAATTGGCAATGTTGCCATAGGTGCTGCTTATTTCTAGTGTGTACACATTGTTTTTATCTTAAGTCAAAAATATAGAGATGGCAAAACTTAATTACTAAGCGATAGTTTCCAAACATCCCGGCCCACCCTGAAACACGGTTTCTGAATGAGGTAATTCCGCAATTTTCGTTATTGCCGGGTCAATTCTCCTGTTGCCATCTTGAGCCTTACTGCTCGCACGACGTTGTCCTTTCCTGGGTAGGTTTCGATCACCCTCGCCAGGTGCCATGATGCTGGTGGTGTGTTGGACTCCTTGACGAGCACAACGCTGCCGATCTTGATGTTGGGGGTTTCCTTGGTCCACTTTGGTCGCAGCTGAAGACTAGTCAGGTACTCCTGGTGCCATTGTTTCCAGAAGCGTTGGTACATTGATTGGATACTCTGCCAGTATCCCAAACGGCCCACAGGAATGTGGCCAAGATCCGCCTCCGGGATCGTCGTAAATGGTCGCCCGATCAGGAAATGGGCTGGTGACAGATAGCTGCTATCTGTATCCGACGTGTAGCATAAGGGTCGTGAGTTGACCATCGCACTGATCTGCGGCAGCAAGGTGCGCATTTGCTCATGTGTTAGTGTGCTGCTGCCAATGACTCGTCGAAGATACAGTTTAACACATCGAACTGCTGATTCCCACTTTCCTCCCCAATGTGGAGCACGAGGTGGGATAAAGGTCCATTGGATACCTTCGTCTGCTAGTGAGTTCGCTACGTGATCCTTGTGTTGTGTTGAGTTCAGTAGCTGCTGCATTTCATCCAGGGATCGCCTGGCTCCGATGAAATTTGTTCCGTTGTCGCTGTACATGCGTGTACATTTGCCTCGTATTGAGAAAAATCGTCTCAATGCCGCCAGAAATGTTTCCGTGGATAAGTCGGTGGCGAGTTCTAGATGGATCGCCGATGTAACCATACATACAAATAGGCATATGTATTCCTTGCTGATGCGCGGCTTGCGCACCTTAGCGTCCTTCAGAAGAATTGGTCCTGCATAGTCGCATCCAGTGTTTACGAATGGCAGTGCTTGCGTTATACGTACGCTGGGTAGATCTGCCATACGTTGATGCATTGTATGTTGTCTCTGTCGAAAGCACGCCAAACAGTTGTGTGTGATTTTGCGTATCAGGTTCCGTGCGCCGAAAATCCAATATCGTTGCCGGACAATGACGAAGAGAGATGAGACTCCAGGATGCAGGTTGACTCGGTGCTCATGTTCTATTATTAGGAGGGTGATCCGATGAGCCTTTGGAAGCAAAATGGGATGTTTTGCCTCTGCCGACAACTGTGAGTGTTGGATTCGTCCTCCCACTCTGAGCAGATTGTCCTTGTCGATGAACGGTGATAGCTTTACCAATTTTGATTGGTTTCCTAGAGGCTTGTTAGCGAGTAGTAGCTGGAAGTCCTGTTGAAAACCAGCTTGAGCGTGTTGCAGCCATCGAATTCTGGCCGACTTGATCTCGTCAAAGGTGAGAGCCGTTGATGTTCGTTTTGAAGACGGGTGTTTCATGCGATGAATGAATCGCAAAACATAACCGAGCGTGTGTATAAGCCTCAGCCAAGATGAGTTGCGATTTAGAAGCTTATCCAAAGGATTGTCCGTTGTGACAATTACCTGCGCAGCAAGGCAGTTAGCTTTGATCTCACTTTGTATGCGTTTGTCTGAAGGTGAACAACAGTTGTGTGAATTGTTCAACTTTACCAAAAATTGATCCTGGTCCCTCAGCCATGACGGACCCTTCCACCACAATTGGAAGTCAATGAGCTCGGATACTCCCAAGCCTCGGGATGCACAATCCGCTGGGTTCGATTTTGAGTCCACATGCCGCCATGCATGCTTAGGTATGGTTTCCAAGATCTCGGCGGTGCGGTTCCCAACAAACGTCTTTAGTTGGGCTGGTGAGTACGCTAGCCATGATAGGACTATTGTGGAGTCGCTCCATGCATAGATAGTCACATCCTTGTGCTTTAATCCAGCCTTGATGGATTGCAAAAGTTGGCTCAGAAGAAGTGCACCGCACAGTTCCAGGCGTGGCAGAGATTGTTGTTTTAAAGGTGCCACCCTTGTCTTTGCTGCAAGTATGGCTACCGAAATGGTTCCATCTTCCTTAACCATTCGGCTGTACACTACGGCTGAGTATGCTTTCGTGGATGCGTCTGAAAATCCGTGCAATTCGATCTTGTCGGTGTCGCTCTCGGCCAAGCGTGGTATCTGGAGTTGTGGTAGGTTTTCTAAATCTGCTCGCCATTTGAGCCACTTGTCGGTTAACTTTTTCGGAAGTTCGTCGTCCCAATTCAAATTCAACAGCCACAGTTTTTGAAATAGTATTTTGAATATAACTACGGTTGGTGCTAATAGACCGAGAGGGTCGAATATGCGTGACACATCCGACAACACTTGCCTCTTGGTGCAGCATGGACTCTTTGCTAGATTCACATTGTACGACAATGTGTCCTTCTTAGGGTGCCAATGCAGCCCTAGAACCTTTACTGATGAGTGTGAGGAATCCTTGTTATCCTCCGATACAATGTATTTGGTATTCAATACCCACTTCCCGAGCTCTAGCTTAGCACAGGACATCAGTTGGACGAGTTCGTCCCGATTGCGTTGCAGCTCATCCTCACTATTGGATCCAGTGAGAACGTCATCCACATAGAAGTCTTCCATCAAGATTTTTGCCGCAGTTGGAAACTCCTTCTGGTGGTCAGCAGCCAGTTGTTCCAGTACTCGAACTGCTAGGAATGGTGCGCATAATGTTCCATACGTCACCGTACAAAGTTGAAAGTGCTTGATGGGATCTGATGGATCCTCTCGCCATACGATTCTCTGAAAGTTTCTATGTTTTTCGCTCACCCAGATTTGACGGAACATTTTGACTATGTCCGCTGAAAATACGTATTTGTGCATACGGAACCGCAGGCACACAGCAAACAGGTCTCGCTGAATACTGGGTCCGATCGAGAGTGTGTCGTTTAACGCCTTGCCTTTGGCGTCCCGGTATGAGCCGTCGAAGACTACTCTGAGTTTCCGACCCAATTCAGGATGATGAGGTAGATAGAAACTCCTTTCGTTGGGAATTTCGCTCGGTGAGATTTCTCGCATGTGTCCTAGACTTTGATATTCCCTCATGAAGTTTACGTAATCCTTACGTAGCTGATGATTTTGTGATAAACGGCGTTCAACCGATTTGAACCGCTGTAAGGCTCCTTGAAGGGTGTCTGCAAATTCAGGAGCTGATGATGTAAAAGGAAGCTCCACGATGTATTTGCCATTATCGTCCCGAGCGTGGGTGTTGAGAAAGTGCTCCTCGACCTCTTTGTCCTCAGGTTGAACTTCTGCCTTGCGATGAATGCTTTCCAGCTCCCAGAATCGTCTGAGAGTGGCATCAATGTCGACTGTTGTTGTGAGGGCCATAGTGTTGCTCGCCCGTGGTGCAAACAGTGATGTGATCACCCATCCAAAAATTGACGAAATAGCGATTAGCTTGCCTTTGTTGTCAAATATCTTTCTCCCAGTAATAGCACTCCAAACATGCTCGCTGCCCAAAAGAATATCGACTGGGCCACTTGTACTGAATTGTGAATCTGCTAGTTGTAGATCGTTGAAGACTTGTAGTGCAGACGCGTCGATGCTCTGCCTTTCCAATGATGAGGTGATCTTTCCAACCACGTGAGCCTGGACTACCAGTTGATCCTCTGATATACGGGATTGGATGCGTAGGGTGCTGCATCCCCTTGTTGTGTCTGCTTTAATCGATGAAATTCCAGTGACCAATATGCGGGATGGCGTACGAGCCAAACCAAGTGCGTGTACACAGCCTTCAGATACATATGACAGTTCTGAGCCTATGTCCAAAAGGCATGCTACCAAATCCCCGTTAGCGTTTTGAACGTTGACCATAGCCGTGGGCAGGGTGCTTCTGTTCCATCCATTTGATTGCGTTGCACTTGCAGTGCCTTGTGCACATACAATTGCTGCGGAGCCTTCTGTTTGTGCTATATGACTAATAGTCACCGGTGAGATGTGCGCGTTGGGATCATCCTGATCCTCACCAGTTTGAGCGATTGTGCCAATTGCGTGTTGCGTACCTTGCAGATGCAATAGAGTATGGTGCTGAGCTTTACATTGTCTGCAGTTGAATGTTGATGTGCATCTTCTGACCCCGTGACCTAGCTTCAGGCAATTGTAGCATAGCGATTTCTCCTTGGCAAACGAGATTCTCTGTCCTGCAGACATACCCAAGAATTGTGGACAGCCATACAGACGATGTTCTGTAGAATAGCATTTGCTGCACTTGTTTCCATCAAGCGCAACCAACGAATGTGTGACCTTCTTTGTTTTGTCACCAATAGAGGCTGTCGTCTTCCTCCAGGAGTAGCTCCAACTCCTCGCAACGCGCATCCAAGAATTTGAAGAATTCTTCTAGTGTGGGTGAGTCTAACTCCACACTGCGTTCGATCCACCTGCGTCGAGTATCTGCGTCCAGTTTTTCCAGCGCCAGGTAGATGATCCAACAGTCTCGTCCTGTTTCCCCAATGGCATCCAAGCCACGCACGATTTCGTTAGCGCCGTCTGACACCTTCCGCAAGGTTGCTGCATCAGACTTTGTTGTTGTTGGCAGCTTCATAAACTGCTCCAAAAATGAATTGACGATGTGCCGTGGACGATTATATCTTTCGTTCAGTCGCTCCCACGCTGTGTTGTAAGCTGCATCCGTAATATTTAGATGTCGCACCAAGTTAGCAGCTTCGTCGATTAGAAGGGATTTCAGATGATGAAATTTGTGCGCATTTGTCAAATTCGCCTTGTTGTGAATTGTGCTCTCGTAAATGTCCTTGAAAGCTGGCCACTCAGAATAGTTGCCAGCAAACCGTTTAATTTGAATTTTAGGCAATTCGCTTTGAGCTGATGCCTCTACGATTTGTGCGGTACCTGAATTCGCCGCACTGACGTCACCTCTTGTAGGTCTTGGCAATTGTGCAGTGGCTCGATCTGCCGCCAACTGTTCAAACAATTGTTGTTGTTGTTGTAGCAAACTAATGATTGCGTCGTTGTTGATTTGCAGCCCGTTGCTGCCGTTCTCGCTACTCACAGTGGATGGGCTAGGTCTTGTACCTGCCATCGCCGAAAGTAATGAATGCGCCCGTAGATACTTTCCCTCGTAGAAAGCGTTGTCTGGCTCCGGATCCACATAGCCGTCTACCTCGTCTAGAGTAGCTATTTCGTCACCAAATCGAATGAATTCCTTCCATGTTGTGTTGAGATGCTCCAGCCGCGAAGACACCTCCGCCCATGTGGCGTCTGATTGGTGCGCGTCCTCAGCCCAAGCCAAGCTCCGTGTGATATTGGCCTTGAGTCTGGCGCGTCCCTTCACCAATGCTTTTAATTGCTCCATTGAAGAACAATTACCGTGAGAACCAATGCACAGAAAACAACAAAAACATCCGGCTCGAAGGACCAAACAATGATCCTAAATGCGTAGAGCCTTTTTTTGTAGTGGACTGTATGTTTTATTGTTCTTGCTTGTTTCGCTGTCTTATTGGTACTGAAGAAAATTGGCAATGTTGCCATAGGTGCTGCTTATTTCTAGTGTGTACACATTGTTTTTATCTTAAGTCAAAAATATAGAGATGGCAAAACTTAATTACTAAGCGATAGTTTCCAAACACCAGTAGGGAAGCAGAATTAAAAACACTATAACTCCTCTAAAAATTGTCTAATTGGTCTGAACTTTTTAAATTGGTGCTGCATGATTTCAAGCCATAAGCGGTTACTTTTTGGAAGATACTAGGAGTAGTGCCAGAGTGAGGCAGTTAACGAGTCGTACAGGCGATGTGAGTTGTTAGGTAAGGTCATTCCTTTAGTTTATCAGATCGAGTATCTCGGTGAAGGAGTCAAGAGATCTTTACTGGCATAAAAGCCGAACTCGACCGGTGTGCATAGAGGATCGAGTGGCAGCTGAGATTGTGTCCCGCCGCCTGGTCTCCACAAGGCGTATATAATGTAGAAAATAAAGTACCCGGTACAATATTAGGATGATGCAATGCACGCTTGTATGGTCCTAAGAAATAGAGAATAAGAAAATTATGTATAACAACTTTTTCATTTTTCTTTCGCTACATTTGTCAGTCAGTCACAAATAAAGTTCCGAAGCATACACACGGTTTTCTGATTTTGGTGGCTTCGAATTCTGCCGCTCAATAGGTTATGGGCCCAGGCACTAGAGAGTTCAAGTTATTCGGTGTGTGACTCAAGATTAAGAACAATGAGTGCTCTTTATCAAATTGATAAGTTAGAGGAGACAAACTATGATACATGGAAAATACAGATGCGATCTGTATTAGTGCATTCCGGTCTGTGGAGTGTTACGTCTGGAGAGCTAACTGAAACGAATGTTCCGGAAGGACAACAGTTTGCGGCCTTGGACAGTAAGGCGTTGGCGACAATAACATTGAGTGTCAAGACATCTCAATTGGCCTACATCAAGAATTGCTTAACGGCTGTGGAGGCATGGACCAAGTTGAAGGAAGTTCATCAACCAAGCGGACCTGTACGAAAAGTACAGTTATACAAGAAACTGCTCAATAAACGGATGGAGCAAGGGCAGAGCATGACGACCTACATAAGTGAATTTGTGGAAATTCTGGATTGTCTAACTGGAGTTGGAATAGACATAAACGACGAACTTCGCACTATCGTTTTGCTATCAAGTCTTCCAGAGCAATTTGAACATTTCGTGGTCGCTATGGAAACACGAGATCAGTTACCTTCGTTCGAAATTCTCACCATAAAGTTAAAGGAGGAGAGCGAAAGAAAAGGAATAATAGAGGAACGAGTCGACACTAAAGCATTTGCTGCAATACACAAGCACAACTCACAGACAAAAACGTATGGACAGAAGAAACGAAAACATATCGTTTGTTTCAAGTGTGGTGAGCAAGGGCACATTAAGTCCCAGTGTCGAAGAGAGGGTGAGGGAGATCATCGTATGGAATCAAGAAGTATGGTGAATCGACAAAGCAGCCTGTTGCACGCCTGTGACGTCAACAAAATTGACAATTCAACATGGTGCTTGGATAGTGGCGCAACAAGCCATATGTGTTGCGCAAGAGAGCTATTCACAAAGTTTGAGAAGCACACTGAACAGATCGGACTGGCCGATGCTGGTTTCCTTCAAGCAGAAGGTATAGGTGACGTCAAGATACAGACAGGCCAGTGCATGTTGACACTAAAAGATGTTCTCTACGTTCCGAAGATGACCGGAAATTTCTATTCCGTGAGCAGTGCTGTCCAGAACAGGTGCAAGGTGACCTTTGACATAGAGAATGCCAAGGTGATGCAAGATGGAGAATGCATAGTGAAAGCCAAAAAGATTGGCAACTTGTACTTATTTGAAGGTGGCCGAAGTAAATGTTTTGCCATGTCAGCTGTTGATGGAATTTTGCTACACAAGAGATACGGACATATTAATTTCTCTAGCTTGAAAGAGATGGTATCCAAAGGGATAGTTCGAGGAATAGAAAATATTCGGTTGCCAGAGAATATTAATTGCAAAACGTGTATGGTTAGCAAAATCCATGTTCAACCTTTTCCATCTGCAACGAGTAATCGGGCTAAGGAGCTTTTGGAGCTGATACACGCAGATGTTTGTGGACCTTTTCCAACACCATCCCTCGGAGGTTCCAAGTATTTTCTGACGTTCATTGACGATAAGTCCAGGAGGATTTTTGTTTATTTCCTGCATGGAAAGAACGAGGTGCTATCTAAATTCATCGAATTCAAGAATCTGGTGGAACGGCAGACAGGAAGAAGATTGAAATGCCTGCGGAGTGATAATGGCGGAGAATTTGTCAATAAACAGTTTGACGAATGTCTAAAGCAGCATGGAATCGACAGACAGCTAACAATAGCATATACTCCCCAGCAAAATGGAGTTGCGGAACGGGCAAATCGTACGCTAGTGGAGATGTCAAGATGCCTTCTGGTCCAGGCGGGACTGGGAGATCGTTTTTGGGCAGAAGCTGTCAACACTTCGGTTTATCTGCGAAATCGTTCCCCTACCAGCGCATTAGAGAGTATGACTCCTATGGAAGCGTGGACGGGTAAGAGACCTTATGCAAAACATCTAAAGGTTTTTGGATCTCTTGCAGTTGCTCTGGACAAGGGTCCGAGGAAGGGCAGCAAATTTCAACCTAAGGGAAAGGAGTACATTATGGTTGGGTATTCTGTTGCAGCCAAAGGTTATCGACTGTATGACCCATCAACTGGACAATTGGTCGAAAAACGGGATGTATTATTTGATGAACATCATGACGTGGCATCCAAGGATGATACTGTGACGATCGAGCTGGAGGACCTGGAGGAGGACCGTCAGCAGCAGGGACTCGGAGATGCAGAAGTCGTTTCTGACTCATCCATCGACGCCGACAGCTCCGATGATAGCACGGATCAGTACGAGAGTGCTGAGGAAAAGGGTGAGCATGTCGAGGAGGAGGCACGCAGGGGCCCCGGCCGCCCTAAGATCATTCGGACTGGAAAACCTGGACGTCCAAAGAAGCAGTACAATATCCTAGGCGCCCTTATTTCGGAAAATGTTCCGATTCCGTTAACTTGCAGAGAGGCGCTGGAGAGTAATAATGCAAAGGAGTGGCGTGAAGCCATGGAAAGAGAATATGATTCTCTGGTTGCCAACCAGACTTGGCAAGTCACTGATTTACCCAAAGATCAGCGAGCCATTGGATGCAAGTGGGTGTTCAACGTGAAGCGTGATAAAGATGGCCAAATAGAACGTTTCAAGGCTCGACTGGTAGCAAAAGGATGCGCTCAGCAGTTTGGCGTAAATTACCAAGAAACATTTTCGCCAGTATGCCGATTGGAGAGTGTGCGCTTTATTATAGCACTGGCGGCGGAGCTTAAGCTACATCTTCATCAAATGGATGTATGCACCGCGTATCTCAACAGTGATCTGAGTGAGACGGTCTACATGAAGCAGCCGGAAGGGTACTCAGATGAATCAAATCCTGACAAAGTATTGCTTTTGAAGAGAGCAATATATGGCTTGAAACAATCAGGAAGGGCCTGGAACGAGAAGCTAAATGGCGTATTGGTCAATATGGGATTCGTTGCCTGTGATAACGAACCATGTTTGTACAAAAATTGTGGCGAAGGTAATCTTGTACTAATCCTTGTATATGTTGACGATATAATTATAGCTTGCCAATCGCACGAGGATTTGC